AAAAAACTCTTGAGCTTTACTACAACTCCCGCCCCCAAAAAAAAAAACATAAAAAAAATGTTAACCACCCTTTCATTAAAAAAAATCATTTTTTTAAAAAGTTTCCCCAAATCCTCTGGGCCCAGCTTTTTTTAAATTCACCACGACTTCATTAAAAAAAAAGAAAAAAGGAAGAAAAACCCCCCCCCCCCCCCCGCCCCCGAAGAGAAAAATTTAATTAGCTCCGTGCGAGGTTGGGAAAAAACACATCCGAGCTACGAGAGATTCATAAACGGGGCGCGGTGTCATTCAATAATTTGCTTTTGCGGCGTCACTCCACCACACCCTCACCTTGGCTTACCTTTTTTGCCTTTACACATTCGCGATCTTCACAGATTAAAGGTTTTTCGCTGCATGGACAATCGTCATGTACTTCACAGGTTCTCTTGAACACCCCGTGGCACTGAGAAAAAGAGCACTGTTGGTTAGATAAAGGCAAGGCAATTCAGTGTTACCTTAATTGATGTTCTCACCAGCTGCTTAGCACTGTGGCAATGGCTCATATCACTTCCTTGATATCAAACGGTAATTTGAAATTATTGTACGGCCCTTTGATTTCATGCATGATACTACCACTTCAAAGAGGACAGACGGCAAATTGTTGTTGCTCGAAATATCTAAAAGTCGTAACTGTTCATCAGTAGGATGCCTAAAATGTGTGCAATTCCACAATTGGTTTCGTAACCATTAAATCCTGTACCAGTTGTAGAACATTTTAGGAGAAGCCACCCACATTGTGAGCACAGTTACGTAAATATGAGTTCCCTTCTGTAAGCAGCCTCTAGCATATAGCAAATATAGACCATTTCTAATTCCCCCTAACATAATCCACCCCCATCGGAAAGTACAGGCTCTTTCTTCATTAGGCATCGTATTGATATAAAATACCCGGACGAGGGGATCGAAACTGTAGGTACGGTAGTTAAGGAGAACACCGGGCGGTTTTAAATTTGTTTCAACTCCTTCTTATACACTGGGTGTACCGGCCGAGCACCCTGTAGGATCAGAATCATAGATGATCCAGTGCGCCAGCCACTGAGAACCACTTTTTGTTGATCAAAATAGTTAAGTTTAGTTTACCTTACTTTATTGGGTAATACACAGTTTATCAAAAGCGATAAATACTCAATGAAGTATAAGGGAAAGTCACGAAGGGGGCACTCAGACCCATGCGACGCGCCCACCCAAAGGAATACAAGTTAATATAAACACAAAACAGACATATTTAAACACGCACCGGTTGCTTTCTTATGATATCATCAAGAAACACTGATCTCTTGCATTTTTTCTGCCAGTTACAGATCAGCGTTCCATTATGGCGGTTCACGCAAGCACATTCATCGTCCTCCATACAGCGCCGACCCTTGACTCTAGCGCACTGAAAATTAAAAAATAAAGGAGCAACTTTGACAATAGATCTTCCTCCACTATATTTTCTATAGAGACACTAAAAATCGTGATGTATTACTTCATTTAATTATTTTCTTTTTAGTACGCCTCTGTAATAATATTTATTTTTTCATCTAACGACTTTACTTGGCCCCTCATAAACA